CAGCAGCCTTTTTGTGTGAGGTTTGTGTTTTTTTTGTCATTGTTCCTGGGAAGTCTCAGGTGGATCATAGACCCTCATCCTGACTGGTCTCTGCTGGCTGTCTCCACTCCTCCCCTTTCCATTTCCCACCCTTACTGCCCCCTCTGAGCCTGGGAGGTTAACCCTAGGGATGGCTCCATTTGGGATCACATCCTGGCTGCTGCCCACTTGTTTCTGGAAGTCAGAGGTAGAAGGAGAGAATAATTGTGTGTTTTTTGTCCTACTCATTTTTTTAAATATATATGTATATTATTGATTTCAGAGAGGAAGGGAGAGGGAGAGAGAGATGGAAACATCAATGATGAGAGAGAATCATTGATCGGCCGCCTCCTACTGGGGGTGAGCCTGCAATGCAGGCATGTGCCCTGACTGGGAATTGAACCATGTCCTGTTTCATGGGTTGACGCTTAATCACTGAGCCACACCGGCCAGGCCACCCTACTCCTTTCCTGCTTTGGTGATGCATATCTGTCAATAGCTGTGACTTGTTCTGTGAGAAAAGCTACAGCTCCTGCTGGGCTGCTTCTCCTTTGTGGCTCTAATTTCCACTGGGCTCTGGGACAGTGTTTCCTCACCTCTCCCATCAGCCCTGGAAGAGAGTGGCTTCCTGCTGGTGCAGTGTTGGGATGCAGCAACATCCCTCACGTGGTCCCTAGCCCAGACCTCTGCCAGTATTGCCTTCATTCAAATTCTTCACCTGAACCATCTAGAACAAATTTGGTTTCCTACAGGGTTCGGACTGATACACTCACTAAATATTAAAAGTAGTCTCTATGTTCTGGCATTAAGTGATTATTTAAATTTCTACTGAAGAAATAGGCTTGCCAATCTGGGTAACTGCCCTGTTCTAGCTTCAAAACCCAGGAAATATCACCCTCGACAGCTATTTGCTTGGAAGGAAAAAGAGTATATTGATTAATTCTAATCTGAATAAGCAAGAGATTAGTACTGGGATAGCAATGTTCAAAAACTGTAGGTCTTCTGTCTGGCTGGTGTGGCTCAGTGGTTGAGCGTCAACCTAAGAACCAGGGAGTGGGCCTAAGCCATCAGTTGGACATCATGCACTGCTGCAGAGGCCGGAGAGGCTCCAGCCACCACCACTGTGCTCGCCAGCCATGAGCCCGGCTTCTGGCTGAGCAGCACTCCCCCCAAGGGAGCCCACTGACCACTCCAGGGGGCACCTCCTGCATTGAGTGTCTGCCCCCTGGTGGTCAGGGTGTGTCATAGTGACCAGTCATTCTGCCATTTGGTCTATTTGCATATTAGCCTTTTATTATATAGGATACCTCAGAGCTGAGAGAACCCTTCTGTTTTGTGGATGGAGACACTAAAATTTTGGGACTATTAAATTACTTGCCCAAAGCTCTTGACCACCTCATTCTTCTTACCATTCTTTTGGGTGCTCTTTTCTCTAAGCTTCATGAATAGAGAGGTTTTTTTGTTTTTTTAATTGCTTACTTTTCATAAGTTTGCTTTTCACTACGGGTTTCCTGCACATTGTAATTTGTAGTGTTGTTGCTTAGCACAAAGCAGATGCATTCGTATCTTCACGGATCA